CAGTGCCCCCAACTGGAACTAAAACTTAAAATGTAGTTGTGTTTTTCTTCTGACTGATGATAGAATTACGATATTTTCCAACGTTTTGTACTGTCAGAATTTTTCCAAACATTGTCACATTTGTCTTTGTCTAGAAGTTAAAAACAATAAAAATACAAATTCTTGGAACTCGAAGTTCCTTTACATAAGGCGGTGACTTTGTCTGGCGCGAGATTTTAAACTGTAACGTCTCGGGATTGTAATTCGCCCGGGTCTTGAGAAAGGGCCCTTTCTCAATGCTGTATGCTGTGAGGGTGGGCGAGCAGTTTGTATTTGTGCACATCGCGTTCCAACCGGTTTTCTGGAACAGGTTCCCAGGAACATGACAAAAAAGATCCTCATGCTGCGTATTCCAGAGGCATTTCCTTCAGCGGCCCCACAGTGAAGCCATCTCAGGGCGGGCCGCCGGCTCCACACAGACGCTGGGCGGGTCGGCCTACCCAGCCCGCTGCGGGCGCGATGAATAGCAGCGTCTGGAGACCCAAGAACGATGCGCAGCAGAAGAACGCCGTATTTGCAGTCTATCGCTCTTTGGTAGCCATGATCATTAACGGAAAGCACAAAGAATAACATTATATTTTTTTAAATTGCCTATCAGAGTTTTTAATGAAATGAATAGTCAAACGTCCATTTTGATACGCTAAAAGATGTGCGTTGTACGCAGTGGAGTGTTGACTCTCTGGAAAGAAGGTGGGGGAGGGGGAGGGTGGGCTCATGTTGAGGGTATTTCTCGGGATTCCCTGTTTTTATTGGACATCGGCCAGCCGGGCCTCTCGTCCCGATCCCCTGGACCTGTTCCTGCCAGGAGCCGGCAGGAGCTGACGTCAAGTCTCGGGTCTCTTATGGAGCGGAGACGTGCGGAGTGGAGGAAGGGGCGGGCGGGGCGCGCAGGGGTTCCCAGTGCGCCTCGGTGCGTGTACCAGTAGTATCCCAGCACCGCGTCGAGGAAGCGGCGACTGCCGCGAGGGACTGCAGCGCCACAGCTTTGGGAACCGCGAGCTAGAGCCATCCCGGATTGCTTTCCCGCAGCAGCCGAGATGCGCGCGCTCACCCCCGTCGCCCTGCTCGTGGCTCTGGGCGTTGCCCTCGCCCTGGTGCACGACGCCGAGGCGCAGGGACCTCCGCGCGCCCGCGGGCTCGGTAAGTTCTGAGGAGCTGCCCAGGGTGAGAGAGAGGTACGAGTCACACTGTAGCGCACGCAGGCGTGCGTGCTTGCCTGTGTCGCACCTAAGCACCACCAGAAATCGGAGAATAGCGGTATTGGGGCAATATCGCAACGATATCGTTTTGATATCACATGTCGATTTTTTGCTCACCATTCTGTCGCAAGTGACACGAAAAGCGACACAAAGTCGACATGCGATATCTTAACGATATTTCTGGCGGTGTGGTGCCTTACTCCTCAACGCGCCCGAAGGCGTCCTGCCGGGCCGAGTCCCACTACGACGCAATGTGCTCCTGTCCAGGTCGCCGTGCGCTGCTGTGCTACGCCGCCGCCTGGCACGCCAAATTCAAACCCCGCGACCTCGACCCCGGGCTGTGCTCCATGGTCATGGTGGCGTTCGGGCGGCTGGTGGTGAGCCAGACGGGCGCCCTGGAGGAGGCCTACCCCATGAGCGACGAGGACAACAAAGGTGAGCGCACCTCGGCTGAGCGAACGGAGGAGTACCACCAGTAGTGTGACGCCCGAGTATGTCGCAGTGTCCGTGGGCGGTGTGGTCAAGGAGCTCAGGAAGCACAACTCCTCGGTTGCCGTGGGGATGACCATCGGCGGCTGGGCCGAGGGCTCCGAGAGGTTCTCGGTCGTTTCGGCTGACGCCAGGAAGCGGGAGGTGTTCGTCAACAGCGTGTTGAAGGCGGTTAAGTGAGTACGAATTGTCAGGAGGAAGGGGGGGGGGGGTAAGAATTACCCCCTCCTGTCTCTATGTCTCTCGCTCTTCACAAACACACACACACACACACACACATTTTCACAGAGGATACTATGCGTTCCGCGTAAAAGCACATACTGTACGTCCGTTGAAGTATGCCGCCTGGTGGAGTGCCACCAGGAGGCTGTACGAGACCAGGGATCATACAGAAAGCATGTCCGTCATTCGTCGCCGCGAAACTGCCGTGTGCTCAGCCTGCAAGCTCTCAGATCACCTGATGGGTAGGCAACATCTTGCCTGCAGTGCATGCGTGTAGTGCGGGCTGGCCTACCCCGAGTCTCACAGGCGCCGTGTGCTCATCCTCTGCAAGCTCTCAGATCCCCTGATGGGTAGGCAACATCTTGCCTGCAGTGCGCGCGTGTAGTGCGGGGTGGCCTACCCCCAGCCTCACAGGCGCCGTGTGCTCAGCCTGCAAGCTCTC